AGAGATAATGCTGTTGCAGTGATACAAAATAATATGACGCAGCCTGATGCAACACCGTTTGCATTCCCCTCCAATCTCCACTCCAGTTTATTCCTCCGCTTCCAAATAAAAAAAGAAAAACAAAAATACGGAAATGCTACGCATGCATGTTACACAAGCTGAATTTAGAAGCTTTAACGAGGTCCGTAAACAAATCGCTTATGCATGCATGTGCTTTTTAATTTCATCTTCTTTTTTTTTTGGGTTACACATTCTCAATCTCCTCCACAGCTCCAGAGGAAGCCTGTCATTATTACTTCTCAGATGTAAAAGAGCGCTCTATTTTTTTTTTTCAGCTAAGACACAAAAATCTCATGACCTTGGAAATTTACATGATTATAACAGCGAATTATTCCTCTCTTTAACGTGCTGCATTCGCAAGCATGGCTCGAGTCTAGACGCCACACGTATGATAATCTCACGGCGGTCGACGACTGTATGCTGAAGTTGGTAAACGTGTTTGCGTTTGTGATGTGCGGTGTGGTGTGTTTACGGCATGTACGGCTGTGTGTGTGTGTCCTGGTTTCAACTCTGCCGTTCTTGCACTCTCACATTATCATACAGAGCAGACGGAGTGCGTGTGTTGGGTAGTAAAACTCTCCTCTGCTCTCTGACAGCACTCCCCCCTACGCACACACACACACACACGCACACCTCCCATCTCGTCTCCTGCTGAGCTCCCCGTGTGTAATCTGTAGACTGCACACGTACACTGCTTACCTGAGTGGGACTCTCTTTGCAAGTGCACAAGCTTGTGTGCGTGTGTGTATCTGTGTGCGCGCATGCATGCACGTGCGGCAGAGGGTGAAGGAGACGGCAAACACGAGAGACCACGTATGAGGTGTTTTCTGAAAGCTTGGCTCGGTACATGCAGAAAACACGCTTCTTGAGAGCGAGCGCTTGCAACGTGTGCACGAGCGGCACTGTCTGCCGAACGTGGCTCCAAGACAATCCTTGTGTCTGTCTCCCACTGTGTACAGCTGACAGCAATCACCTGAACTGGAATGAACCGGACTTACGTAACTTTCCCTGTGAAAGCCACGTCTGGCCTGACAGAGAGGAGTTAGGTCATCAGGAAGCAAAAGTTTATAGCCATTTCCTCAAAGATGAATATAGGGGGGGAAAAGAGAAAAAAAGCTTCATCATGGTGACTTACATTTACATCTATAGTTCTAATTCATCTGAGGGGTTGATGATTTTGAAATATTTTTTCTCTTCTCAGATATATCAGAGTTCAACCAGCGTACTACAAGTGGCTTTCTGGCCCTAAGGTGATCTTATACTGGACAGAAGCATCCTCATTTGCAACAATTAGTTGGAAAAAGTTGGAAAGTGATTTGATCAGCCTACTAATCTCATTATCTGTCTTTACATTTGTTTTAAAAATTGCTAGAAAGAACAACAAAGAAGTAAGAAAATCCTGATAACAATGACATAGCGACACCATGTGTTTTGTTTCCTAGCAACAAGAACACAAGCCCTGGCATGTCTGAGAGCCAGATCAGCTTGTCAGCTTCCAATGGCAATTTAGTACCTAAAAAAGGGAGCTACTTCAACGTCCTCCAACAAAGCTGAATACTTTGCAAAATGTGCAATAAATATGTTCTCAGTGGAAGTGGAAACAACAAACCTTGAGGCAAAAATATAAAAAACGTTGAGCACAACCAGCCCAAAAAGGCATGTAAGCAGATGTTAGCAGCTATTGATGTGCAACAAAACTAAATAAATAAATGTAGCGTTCGCTATTTGCACTCCAAATGATGGTTTCCCATCATTTTTGCGAATTGTGCAAAAAAGGAGAGAATGAAGCAACTGGTTAAAAAGTTCAGCTCAACGTTCTCAGATAGAAAATATTCTTCAATTTCAATTATATTGTGCAGGTGCTTGATGAGATACAAGGTTAAAATCCTTTAGTTTAGCAAAAGCAGTAACTAAAGTGTTAAGCACTTGTATTATCTTTCACTTGCGGCTGCTTTTGTGCTTACATTTATTTTATTCAGTGTCACAACTATTGCACTATGAAAAGGCCATTCAGACACAACGCGACAGCGACACTGGTGCTCTCTGAAATCCACAAGTATTGATACCAATACTTTGTTTCTAGCCTTTACCTTCAGCATGTAGCCCACTTAATTGTGCTATATAGATTCTTTTTCTGGAAATAAAAAAATATACCTCAAACACGCACTATAAAAAAATGGCGGAACCTTTTTATGTTGAATGCCATTGCGTATAGTACATTTGATTGTCATCAATGACAGCAGCTCATTTGAAAAGAAGGATAGAAAATGGCTTTCAAATGCTGCTGCCAGAAAGCAGCAATCACCTACAAAATGCTGTTCAGTATTCCCTCCCGTATCTTCATAAATACAATTATGTCAAATTTGTATATTTTGATACAATTTTGATGCTACATCACTCACTTCTACAAATAAGTAGGCAAATTGTATGTCCAGTGATGAAGGTAAGCCAAATCATTCATTGCTAAATGTAAATAACATTAAATATGATTTGGTGCAAACATGTTGGAAATGGGAACCGATACATTTTTTAGGCAGAAACTCCTTTTTCTTAGAGAGTTACAATTATGCTCATTTCCAGATAGATAGATACATTACTGATCCCACAATGGAAATTGTTGTGTTACAGCAGCACGATAAAGTGTAAAAACAGTATAGTTACAGGCACATTTTTAAGGCCTTATGCTATAAGCTGCAGGAATTTATATATACAACAGTGATAAAAAATGAAGTTAGTTAAACAACAGTAAAAGTTATTTTCTTGCACTCAACTTGAGTCGATTTGGATGATTCACAGTTCAAAATAATCTCTATATATCTTACCCTCGACCTGACTACAACAACTCCTTCTTGCTGGCTTTCTTTGATTGGCAGCATGTGAACAGCTGCCAATCAGCAGATGGGTGCAAAGAGTGAAATGCAGCGTTACGTTAGCTAACATAATAGTCTAAAAGTCTACAATATATTTTATTAAATCGATCTATACTGACAAATGAAAACACTGTGTAGTTTTATAGAGCTCTGGCCTAGAAAGAATCCAACAAAACTCGGGGTTATGTGTCTTGCAAAGAACTCCCTGCACGAGTGTAGTGAACAAATGCCAGAACGTGTGAAAAGGAAACCACAACGGCATCAGCATAGCGCCTTAATGATGCTACTAGAATGCAGCTACACACACAAATCAATGAATCTAGCTGTATAATTACGGGATACTAAAACACACTGGCACTCAAATACAACCAGCAGGAAAGGCAGTCATGAGCTGCAGCGAGAGAAATCCTGGATGGTCTCTATAACCCCCGTTCTCTCTATCCGAACAGAAAACTAATTGACTGAATCCTGCTAACTGGTAAGAAGCTCTTCCAACACAACCTGGCTTTTATCATAACCTTTTTGTCTCCGTACCTGGCATGCCTCCGTTCAGGGAACGGTGCGCTGAAGATTATAGACGGGGAACAGACGCGGGGAAAAGAAGAGAGGAGGGGAGTGAGTGAGTGAATATGAGAGTGAAGGAGAAGAGGGGAGAGGGGGTTTGGTGGAGAGCAAGTGTTTGGGAGATGAAGATAGAAAGCGTAAGAGTGAGAAATAATGAGAGAAGAAGAAAAATGTTCTTGCTCTCAGAGAGATGAATTGGTTGATAGTTTGCAGACAGCCTTTCCAGTGTCAGGAGAAGGACTATATCCATTCCCTTCTTTGCTAATAAGGCAGAGAATCCCCAAGACACAACCGCAGGGATCTATTCATTTGTCTCCAATAACACAGCCACCTTTCTGCTCATATTAGCCAGGATTTGCATAGCTACATTTGCATAAGGATTTAATAATGTCATCTGAATGAGACGAAATGCATCTGTCAATCATTCTTGGTTCACTAACAGGGTTCTGTGCTCTTCTGGGTTACAACTGGTTCAGGGTTATGCATTCTGATCACTAGCATTATGAGTTCTGTAGGATACGGGTGTGAAATAGCATGGAAAGCTGAATTAAGTATCCAGTTTCCGTTTTCAGTCCAATCTATTCCCCTACAAATCCCCTAGCAAATCTAGGTTTAGCTTAAAATGTCTAAGATGTAAAACATATAACCGATTCGACTGATATAAGATACAGCATTTAAAGAAGCACGTTGGACTGATGCTTAATAGAAGCGGGCAGTATTCTGAGCTCCAGAATAAAAATACAAACTTCTACCTGGAGGTTTATTTTCCAGCATCTAACAATGACCAAACAATGTCGATTATCTCCAGTCCTAACAGATGATAAACTTCATCAGTGTCTGTATATAAATCTTCAATTTGACAGTTAATAATTTAATCAGTTGAATAGTAAAGGAGGCAAACAACTAAAATCGAAAAATAAATGTAAAAATGCAAGAAAAGTTTCGCCGTAAAAAAACAGCCTTGACTAAATGTCAATATATCCATCTAACTGTACTATAGAGGTAAATTTAAAAAAAAAAACACAAAAAAACTAACACACTGGGTAGTGTGTATATATACAACATTGTATATTGTCACAGTTCAAGGTTGTGGAGTCTGCCTACAGATGATTATGAGACAGGAAAGACCGGAGCTTGCTGGTTAACAGCGAATGAACCGTTCAAATAAGAGGACGAAGATTGTTTAATAGTAACTCACTGACCAAAATAAAGTACACTTCGATGAACCACCCAGTTTAATCTTTATACTAGGCTGGTGATGTACCACATGATCAGACATGGAGCATGTTTGGATCCTTTCAGCTTTGCTATAAATTTGACATGCAAAGATGCTGAAAAACAGACCTAAATAAATCATTGAATAAATAGGATATTACAAAACTGTTAGCCGTCATAATTTGCAAAAAAATAAATAAAAAATTCCCATTCTGAAATCAGACTCACATTAGAACCAGTTCACCTACAGACAACAAGAACAAAACACACAGCTTTTATATCCTGTCCTACCTTCCATCCGCTGCCTGCCTCTCTGTAGTAAGGGAAGTTGTCGCAGATCCACTGGTAGATCTCGCTGAGGGTCATCCGTTTGCGCGGTGAGCCGTTGATAGCAAAGGTGATGAGGCTGGCGTAGCTGTAGGGCGGTTTACCATCTCTGTGCTGTGCTGCTTCCTCTTGGTCCAGTGTGGTTCCTGGGTCCAAATGTACCATTTTCTTGCCAGGTCCGTGTCCGTGATGGTGCCCGTGGTGGTGGTGGTGCCCGTGGTGGTGGTGGCCGTGGTGGTGTCCCGTGTCGGCCTTCTGAATGGCTGCCCTCATGCCGAGCTGGGGAAGCCAGTCCATTGAAGTAAGGCTGCTCTCCAGCTCAGAGGTCATAGTGTTTGTCTTGTCAGGGGTCAGGGGTCAAAAGGGAAGATGCACGGCTCAGCGACTTGGCGTATGGAGGATTTCCTGGTGGCTCACTGAATGGGTTCTGTGCAGCAGTCTTGGCTCAAGCCTAGAAGAGCAGGAGGTTTATTTACTATGCCTATTCATCTCCTTTAGCTGGAGCAGAAAGAATACTTGGCAGACACCACAGATGTTAACTTGCAGAATATTCTCCGCATACAGTGCAGCGCTGTATAATGGAAAACTAAATATTTTGGCATGTCGCTCACTTGTTCTGTCACAGTGTGAATAAATATGATATGCACCGTGAGCTATGGATATGGAAAAAAAACAAACAAACAAAAACTTTAATCAAATTGTTTCATTGCATTAATTATACAGTGATAAGCAAAGTTGCATGGGGGACTAGGTAAGAGGTAAGTTTCTTACTCTTCCCATTCCTTTCCATCTTTCTTTGGGCCACAGCATCTGAGGAAGTCACCGAAGTGAAAGGTAGAGCTCGTCCCTCGTGCATGTTCACAAGATCTTCATTTAGCCTCTGTAATGGCCGCTGCTGCAACGTACAAACACAAAACACACAAGACGGTGAGCTCGGACTGCCAGACAGCCTTCATAAGATATTAATATCGCACAACCGTTCAACTGGCCTCGGCATCTGTCCAACCCGATTAAAACTCTTCTCTCTTTTTCTCTCTGTGTTCTGTCTATCTGGATTGCCTCGCACTCTCATTCCCTCCAAAGTGGAAATGGCAATTGGATCTGCCGAGTGACTAAAAGCTGGGGAATTGTTTTCACAAGTGCCTGCCAAATGGGGGGAACAGCTCGGGAGGAATTCCAACCCTCTGGAGGAGCCGAAAGGCTCGTCCCCTTCCCCTCTCTGACTACCCCTCCACACAGACACGCGTACACGCACGCGCGCGGAAACACACACTCGGTGTTCTAATTCTCCGACTCTCGACGTGCCTCACTCTTCTGTCAAGTCCACAACCACCCCACTGCCTCCACCCTCAGGGTTTCAGGTCCTTGCCAGGCAGACCCAAAAAATGAAACCTCAATAACCCTCAACATTTGATTTTCGAAGCTATTTTTAGAGCGACACTGGACCTAAAACTGTACCTTCTGTTACACAGACACTGAACTATTTTTTGGAAGTGGGCGCTTTGAGCGTGATTCAGGACAAAACAAAGGGAATCATTTGGTACACCCAAGAGAAATTACTCACCAATTGTTCTGTACTTCAATCAGTCACAGAACATTTGTAGATTTGTCACTTTTGGGCTGAGAATGTCATGTAACTGTTACTCATCACAGGAGTGAAGATGCTGCATTCAAACCTCGCTCTGATTCAAGATCAGTTTCTCGTTTCGTGCGAGCACCGAGAACGAACGTCATACGCTCTAAGAGATACAGGTAAATCTCAGCGGCCCAGAGTCTGAATAGTTAATAATGGTTGGATGAATTCAATCTCTTATTAATACAGAAATCTACAGCCAAACCTTTATCAACATCCTGCGAAATAACCTTCCAAAGTCCTTGAACAACAAAGAGCCCACTGGCCCACGCACAGTCTCCATTCATGCTGTATATAATCAAGGTGGGAGAACTTCAATGAGCCTGCCTACCACCACAAACGTACAGACGAACACAAACCCCTCTGTCTGTCTTTTCACCAATCCCCCTGGAGAGCAAAATACACAAGGAAGAAAAAGAAGTGAAATGCCCAGCTCCTGCAAAACCCCGCTTAATTACACATGGAAAAAAATACATATTTAGCACCAGACTCATCAAGCTAAACAACCCAGGCAAGGGGTGGAGGGGGGGACCAGTGCAAGGAAAGCGGTACTGACAGAAGAGATGTACCCGATGAGGCTTTTTGCACAAAACTACCCCTGTCCCCCTCCTCAAGGCCCTGCCACTGTGGGAGAAGCTTCTTCCAACCCCCTCTTCGAAATCCCAGGAAGCTATCTTAATTAGTGCACCTTCTTCTTCTTCTTCTTCTTTTTTTTTTTTTTTGCTAAAGGGAATGTAGCATTACTAGTTGCAGTGGTGCAGGGTATGTGGGGAAGGGGGTGGTGACACACAAGACACAGAACAACAAGTACTTATTTTCCCCTCATTAAAAAGGAGGCTCAAACTGCAAATCAGCCTGCCACAAGCCTCGACCTGCCGTGGCTGCTGTTGTTGAGAAGTTTTGGGAGCGTGGGCTGGCTGCACGGTGGCACGGTGTAGCTTCGCACCGCTAGCATAGTGAGGTGTTGGGATGATGAGTAATAGAAGAGAGCACAGAGAGAAGACTTGACTTGGCTTCTGGGGAGAGGAGCCCTGCTGGGCGGGTAGACGCAACCAATTACCTAGTCGGCTCAGTCAACTGGGCCCACGGTGACTAAGCTAACCTCAGCACTGTGCCTTTTATTTTATGATATCGACTGTGTTTCACAACAGGGATCAAGGAAGAAAAGTGATAACTGGAGAAAAGAAATCTCACTGTATATCTCTGCCGATCAGGGAGACATCAGCCTTCTGTAGAAATACACTATACTACACCGAACGCATACGTGTTTCAGTGCTAGACTCTATTAAAAAGTGCCAAATATGTTATCAGAAAGGACAGTTTATTCATGAAAAGTAATTGTCCATGGTTTTCTATGTTGAAAAAGCAGTGCATACTTTCTAAAATGATGTACAGTGGCAGAGTTTGAGTATTGCTAATGCTCCTTTGGTTCAAATACTTGAATAAAAAACCCCATATAGTTCACTTATGCATGGGAAAATGTCTGCCTTTTGATGATGGCATAATATTCTCCATCAGAAAAAGCACTCCCCCCCCCAAAAAGAAAGAGGTTCTTCTTGTTGCATTACTTCTAATGCGGTGACTGGGCAGTGATGCAAACAACACAATTCCTGCTGATACTTGTCAAAACCTTACAAGGCTGAACTCTGCATCCCTCTTCAGGAAACATCAAAAACAACATACAGACAAGATCTATTTCAAAGAGACTGTTGTTGAAGAGGAAATAAAGGTGGCGATGAAATGAGAAGATTCTGGCAGAGGATCACACAGAAACGGCGCGGGTTCATTAAACAGGGTTTCAGTATGGTTGTGCATAGAAACGTGCATATTCCGAGACAGAAGCAGTTTACATATTTTAGATTTTTTTATCTTTCACCCATCAAAGAACAAAAAAAAGAAGAATGTAAAATATGAACTTTCTTAGTGTGACAGTTGTGATATATTAGTTGGCAGTTAAAGAAGAGATTAAAAGCTTTTTTAAAAAAAAAAAAAAAGCAAGGATTTAGACATTTATGAACAAGAAATCTCTTTCCTCCTAAGAATTTAAACGCATCACTCTCTGCACTGTGGATAGAGCTTTCATGACTGTGAACATTGTCCCTTTAAAAGAGTTGAGGGTATGTGTGTGATTGAATGTATTCACCCATTAGACTTTGTAGCTGTGATGCACTCACTCAGCTGTATGCATCACTAACAGCTAACAGTCCCCTGCTGCTAGCAGGCTTTTAGACTGAGAGAGGCTTTACAGTTCTGCATTTTAATAGAGAACTTTGAATGGAGTGACGGGGGATGGGTGAGAGAAAGCGAGGTGGGCTGGGGGGGGGAGGAGGAGGGAGCCAAAAGGAAAGAGGCATCAAAATATTTTCAGAGGAAAATGAAGTAATGACAAAATACCCACCCGGAGCGTGCAGAGCAGAGGGGGTTTCTGGGAAGGACTGCCTTGGCAAGGGTAAGGCTAATGTGTCAAAAGAAAAGTCTGTAGGCACACTGAGCGCTGTCATGTCTCAAAGTGTGGGCCATTCAAAGGAAGAAGGAAAAGGTCCAAAAAACCCGTATTGAACATCTTAATTACTTTCTGCTTCAGCACAGAAAGCACACCCCTGAAAAGGTTCAATTATGAGATATCAAGGCAAATCAGATGCCCTCGCAGTGGCTGTTTCCTTATCCCTCAATGGAGCTGGGTTAAGCAATTATAACTTGATACTGTCTACTTGTTTTTAAAAGGAGACCTGGAGAGGCATCGATGTAACGCACTGTTTCACAGTGCGATACATTGAGTCTTTAAAGAAGAGAGTGGTCAGGAAAATGAAAGTTTGAAAGAAAGAAGAAGAAGAAGAAAAAAAGTGGATACATTCATACCAAGGATAATAATTTATCCATAACAGAACAACACTTTAATCATTTTTTTCTCTGGGTGTGTGTGTGTGTATGAAACCTGCTGGCTGGCTCGTGTCAACCGAGTCAATCCGGTGGCATCGCTACTGAAACAGAACATTACTGACTCACGCTGTTTTTCTCAAGTCTGAAAGAAAACCTGACTGAAAGAAAGCAAGAAAAATCAGTAGGTTCCACTGAATCCCTCAAGGCCTAGAATAAAATATTTAACTCGCTAAGCCCACACAGAACATTACACCTGAAAACATCTGCCAAGGTAGAGGGAGTTAGCGACCCAGAAGACTTACTAGCACCAACTAGGAAAGAGCTATCAAAATTCCAGATTCTGACAACGGCAAAGTTAAAAAGGCATATTTTGTCATAAATAAAACATAGGAGTGCAGCATTTCGGCAAAATCCCCCAACGAAAGGTCCCGAGAGAGCGATGGGATGCTGTTTGTGAACTCACGCTTCGCACAGTAAAGAGGGCTATAGCACTGCGTCACCGCGACTCAAACTACATTCCCACATCCAGCCCTATTCAGCGAGGACTAGTCCTCTTTAAAAATTCATTAATTTACAGCAAAAATAGATTAAAGCGCCCAACTGCACCAACCTAAAAAGTTTGGCTTGTGAATAGCATTAATAATGGAAGCAAGCATCCAAAAACCTAGAGGCCCTGACTTGGAGGCATGGCTTAGGTTTTGTTGCACTTTATAATGGAGAGTCATTTACATTTTTTAGAAGTATTACAGCTTTTTGATGCTTGTTTATAATTGCATTGTTTTACATGCAAATTGGCTAACAATTGTTACTCATTAAAACCTAACCAGAGTAGCAGAGCGCTCTCAGCTTGTGCAAGATGCAAGCTTTACATCAGGTTACCAGTGGAAGCTTTGCATCTCTCGTCTTGCAGGCAACGCTGCTGGCGAGTTCAATCCAAATGACGGCCCTTTAAAAGTGATCATCCCCTATCTTATCTTTTACTTATCTTACTTTTTTCTTTCCCCCTCCAAATCATAGCAATGCTTTTACTAACAGAATCAAAGAGGATTTTGACAAGATAAAAGGATTTGCTACATTCGAATTCAAATTATGTGTACTTTCCTGGGGACATGACAAAAAATCACAGTGACTGGGAGCACTCAGGGAACTTAGAGGGACTTAAAAAGAGAGAAAGTCTGCTCTAATGCCTTGTCGAAAATATCGCCTTCCCAGCCAGACGACGGAGACCGCCGCGTTAGATCGCCAAACATCATCTGCGTGGACGCGTAGATCAGCCAAAACATAAAAACAACTAACAGGGGAAATGAACAGCTATCGAGTATGACTAATAATCATCTCATTACAATGCAGCGTAATGCTGGGAAACCTCAGTTCCTGCATTCATGTGTATGTTACTTTCAAATATACCACCCACTTAAAAATGATTGCAGACCATGCTCCCTCCCCTTTGCTACAGCAAAAGACAGCACATCAGCACATGACGCCTCGCCACATCGGCACAAGAGCTCAGAAGCGGCTCAAGGAACACCACAGAGACCCCGAGGCTTTCAAAGCTCCCCAGATCCACATCAGATCAAGCAGGATGCTCAGGTACAAGGCTGATGGGGTGGTGGGGTGGGGGTCACCCCAGTTTTAATCTTGTGGCTAATCAACGTATAGCAGTCGGGGCATGACGCTTTTCATATCTACGGGTAACATCGGGTCATCTAAACAATCACTTTAATTATTTAAACAGTAGATTATTGATTTGACCGGAGGTAATTAAAGTGACCTGATGCCCTAGTAACGCAGTAATGGCCTGGTAATTACAGAGGCAGATTAAAGGGTTTTCTTGCTAAACCAAACGAGACCACCTCCTCACCTCTTTTAATAGCTACTGCCACGCTATCTTCGAGCAAGGCAGTTAAATAACAACCCCTCTAGCGGAAGTGTCCACGATAAAGAGTGGAAGATGGCTCTCAGGGATCAATCTGTGTAACAGAGGAGCGTGGGTGTCTCTGTTTGCTAAAAGCTTATTGTTACTTATTAAGTTCTTCATTAAGCAAACAGATCTTTCCAGGGTTAAACACCGACCGTCTTTAACAGCACATGTGTAATAAGGCGAGCACACAGTGTGTCTGCTTAAAGGCGTCAATGCTGCTGTAAATTCAGGCAAAACATTTTTCCGCGTCAAAGAGATTGGATTTTACTTATGAGCTGCAAAAAAGAGAGAGAAAAAAAGACTGAAATAATGCATGCTAACACTGATCATGCTGGGTTTAATCAATAAAGCAAAACTCTATATGAGCACCGCCCAGGCACCAGGATGCTGGAATTGATTCTACACCAATCTGCAAGAACAATAAAACCACCTGCCTCATGCGTAAAGTTGCCGCTTGTCCCGACACAGCGTTTCCCACCGATTCTATTTGTGGCAGTAGCAGCGGGGCTTTTCTTTTTCTCTTAATGCATTATTAATTAATAGCGCATATAAGGTGCCTCTCCGCAAACACTTTAATTGCCGCTTTCTGACAAATAAATATCGAAGCAGTATATCTAACTGCCTCTCCAGAGAGCGTTTCATCCCACTGACAGACTCCCAACTCTTCTGACTCCAGCTGTCGATCGTAGTTCTTGTTCTGCTTTGCAGTTCTCCGCCTGCAGCAGACTCTGGCTGGCGTGGCTCTCCAGCTCGCAGCAGAACAAGGAGAACCATCGGCTGCGGTCTAAGATGGTGGAGTCGGAGTAGATCTGACCGCAGGACAAACTCACTAGAGAAGCTGAATGATATCGAAGATGCCGCAACAGCGACATCATCACCCTGATGGTAAGGGGAAAAAAATGAAATGGGAAGAACTGGTTAGCAGTGACTGAACTGTTGAAATCAGAGCAGTGAGGACATCACAGATGGTGGTTTTCGGTGGAATTGATGAAAAGATTCAAATAAAAATGTTAAGATGAGACAAGATTCAACTTAACAGCCCACTTTGGACACGGGAGCTCTTGAGCTGCCCTGTAATGTCTCGCAGCCGGATGTGGGGCCTCTCCATGATTTGCTCCCCAACATCCCGCTCACCCTTGATGGGACTGGGACCGCCATTTGGGATTGGGTTGTGCTCTGGGCCGACTGTGCTGCTGGGAGAAGCGCTTGCTGTCAGGGAGAGCCATCACTGTGTCGCAGCGGTCGGTCTGAAGCAATGTTTAGGTGTGAGGTATGTGTCAAAGTAATGTCAACACCAGGAGTGCCAGGACTCAAGGTTTCCCAGCACAATACTGCACTGCGATGAGTGTTATTCACTTTTTTCTGTCAGCAGCTTTAATGCTGAGGATGCGTGTATGTGTACTTGAATTTTTCTTTCTTTATTTTTTTAATTCAACAGGGTGACGCAAAAAGACCAAGTGTAGGCTTCTTAAGAGATATAAACTACTCAACAAAGCCCACTTTTGTCGCAGATTTGTGGGAAGTTCTGCGTCTCGAACTCCATCACGTTTTAATTGGGAGGCAAATCATTCTTGGCAGACACTGAGAAGAAAGCCTGGCTGCTCAACACGTCTTGTGAAGTCACGCAAAAAGAATATATTACAAGTCATAATGAATATGCAGAGAGACAACATCAAAATTTTTGACAGGCATATACGATTTGAAAACTGGCATATGGAGTTCATCTTTATCAAAGAGACTGAAACGCCTGTAGTGCATCCACAAATAGCCCGTTAATTCAACTTTCAAAAAGTCATTACTACGCTCGGTTCTTGGCGTTGCATTTGCTGACATTGACGATAATTACAACGACCTTTCTGATGATAAAACACAAATCAGTAAAACATTATGAAGGGTTCCTTCTCGCCACGTTTCATGAGATTCTCCATAACGTTTTAATGAGGCATTTAGGGGTCTATGAGTGATCTACTGAGAAAGTCTACAATGGCAATCAGCAGTGAGTGTGGCAGCTGTTCAGCAATTAAAAAGCCAAATTACCCTCAATCAACACCATTTACAAGCACAAGTAAATCTCAGAGCAAATAATGATGAGAGAAATCTGTTCAGACAGCTCTCATCTTGATAGGAATTAGAGACGCATCCAAATCAGGAGCAGGGTTTTCTCTCTCTAACGCTTCCTCAGTCTGTCACACGAGCACGCGCGCACACACACAAACCCCAACTCCCCTTGTCTGAATATTTTTGGCGAGATGAAGTTGTATAGTACTGGCTAGCTAAAGATACTGCAGCATAATGTAAGAGAAAGAGTCCTGTCGGTATTAGACGGTTACCTTTGATGTTAAGGCTATGGTGTCTTCATGGGCAGCCTATAGAAAAGAAATCCACAATGAATGAGCAAAACTGGACCATCACCAAACTCAGCTCGCTGGAAAACTAAAGAAAAGTCATCTGCATGCATGACTCAAGGGCAGCTGTGTCTGCATCAGCTAAACTGTTAAAATCTTCAAGTAGCTCAAATCATTTATTTGAAAGTATTCAATAAATTCATACTCTCTCTCTCAATATATATAAAGTGTATATCAGGGTTAGGTCCTTTTTTAAGTCTTAATACATTATACATTAAATATCCTTAATACATTCTCTTAAACTTGACACGGAGAGGCTCTGAAATCCACGACCGAACAAAGACATCAGCATCTACAAACACTGACAGACAGCTTCTTACTGACACACTGCCAGTGTTCATATAATCTAAACTTTTATAAAAATACCTCACGCTGTTAAACAATGCCAATTACAAGGAAAAAGGCTCATTTTTCCTTATACTACTTTTTCCTTCCATTGTTATGTGAGCTACAAGATTAATGCGTTTTGTTAATGCATAACTGATTCGCTATTATATATATTTATATATCAATCATAAAGCAATTGAACTGCTTTATGGATAGACCACTGCATCACCGTGGAGCTCAGCTTTCTGTAAGCCTCTGCTGCGAGGCTTCATGCTTCCCCTGTTATCACTTCAAAAGTCTTTTATTTTAAATCTCTGACCGGCACTGTCCTCCGCGTATTGCGCGTCCCGTACAATTCACTGCTTGGATAATTGTTCCATTAAGCACCACTTTCCTAACAGTCTTGTAAGCAGACAGCCTGGCTGTGCCGACGGTAGCATCGAGATAATAACTTAGAGAAGTTGACTTTATCCAGCAGACGTGGTATAACGGCACAATGCAACGCTTGCATGCATTCGTATTGTCACAGACAGCGAACTTGTCACGGCCTGCCGTTAAGTAAAAAAACAAACAAAACAAAAACCGCTGGCTTTGAGCACCACCGCTGTGCGATCATTTGTCACAAATCCCAATAAGCAACATATTCAAACATTCTTGTGAACGGACTACTCACCGTCGCACGCGAATACGAGAACCGGCTCAATTTGTGCACTCTGCTTCAAGCAGCTCCAGACGCTGTTCTGCACTTGAAAATCCCCTTCGAAGACAGACACACACATAAAAAAAAAGCTCCTGTGGTGCCTTTGCGCTGTCACTCTGGCTGCGTGCGCACGGCGCTCTGCAGGCGTGCAACTGACCGCTGCTGTGGTCAGTCGACAAGTCAAGACTGGAGGACTCGACCCGCTATTCGCATTTGCGCTCATCAACGCAAAGATCCCGGGTCTCAGTGCTCCGCTCGGCTGCTAAACCACCGGAACTACTTCCAACGCCAGCCGGAGCACGTTGAAGATAAATTCATGCACCACAATAGGAAAAAAATGAAATCAGATCCATTTAACTAGTTCCCGGTTTTAATATTAATGAGATTCCGCCAGGACATGCCTACCACTGGTATGACTAAAATAAACGCCTAACATATAATTAGAATAGACATATGATTTTAAAAATAGAAGCCCACTGTGCCGTGTATATTTGTTAAATAAGCCTGTTGTTGTAGGATACAGTTCTTATCGTTAATACAGGAGCACGCCAGTGACTTTGACGCTTTCATTCCGGTTGGATACAACTAAAGAAAGCGGCTGCCCGCACCTTCCACACGCCACAAAACTCCAAATTATCTTCGACAAGCAAACATGCTTCAGTATGTTTCCCTGTCTACTTTGTGGCAGTGAAGGAGCTAGATAATTGCATTTAGTGGCGCTTCAGATCACGCTGTTCTGCTCCAGCAACAAATTTGGGGCTTTGTGGTCATGTCTTATCTGTGATACTAGGTATTCCCCAGTTTAGACTGGATGCCTATAATTTGTTGATTGTGAGAAAGGCTTGCATGCAGGCACAGCGCACCCACCTGGAGAGGACAACAGTTAAAGCAATTTGTTGAAACGGACATATTTATACATACATATTTATATGTTTGCCATCTTTTCATTCAAATTTCACTTTCCTGCTGCTATGTCGTTGTGTTACGCGTATATAAGTGCAGATACACAGCGATTACAAGTTACGCAAATGATTTTCTACCAACATCCCAACATGTTTGTTTGAGACATTGCCCATCAGCTGTGCGGTCACATATACCTCACTTCTGAGACTCAAAACACCAGCCAGGCTTCTTTATCACTGTGAACAACGGCTTTATCTGTTACAGTACCTCATGGTATTTTCCATCAACTGTACACTCTTGCTCCCCGATGGACACTGCGAGAGTGATCAGCGCCGGGCTTATAAACGACTCACTGCTGCACTCCTCTGGATGATGGAGCTGATTGCAAGGGTTGATGGGATATTTTGTCAGAGCCTGGGCACTGTGAAGGAGCAGCGGCTGTACAATGTTGCCGGTTTATTCCGTTTATGTGTCTGGAAGATAGATAGATAGATAGATAGATAGATAGATAGATAGATAGATAGATAGATAGATAGATAGATAGATGATTAAATTAATCGAATGTAATGTGTTAATCTACCACCAGAGGGCCCTCTATCCTAAGACAATGCGCTGCAATAGTTAAAATAGATGTATTTATTATATATATATA